AAAAACTCAAGTAGTTTAAAATTAATTCCTAAAACATATTTTGTACACTGTACCCACTAGAAAACAAGTAGTGTGGTGTGCAAATTGCTTGGATCATGTTCCCACGACTTGACCTGTCTCTTAACCCGTTCGTAAAACTGCAAAATGAGTCGAGAGGGCTCTCGACATTAACACTCCGACGATAAAGTTAGTTCGCAATTATAAAAATGTTGGATAGTAGATATAAAACTCTGTTATATGTATAATAGAATGGAGAGAGAATGGAGAGTATAAATGGACATATCTCAACCCATTATACATGGGTGTTATTTTGTTTCCCAATACTACTCAGATGGGCTGTCTAGACTGTTTGAGTTATGCGTTCGTACTGCTCAAATTGCACAAACTGTCAATTATGTTATGCCACGTGGTTTAATCCACATGTAATTCTTATCATAATTATTTTCTTTCTTAACCATTAGGCTGCGTATTATACGATTTAATCATGCGACCGACCCGACATACCTCGAGGTAGATATGCTCTTCTGGTCGATTCATCGACCAATCATGTCTCAAGCTCAAATTTCAACTAGTCAATTCGAGGGCCCTACCTCGACATGTCAGTGCTCTTTTTTACTTGTGACGTCCTTACAACCTGAGGACACCTCGATCTGTAGCTCCTTCGGTCTCCGTTCGACCTACTGGTTCACCTGATTCAGTCAATTGGTTTCTCGAGTCGAGCTGACCCAATGTGGTATCTCATACCATAGTGACTTCATGTTAACGAGTTGATTTAAAACTAGCATGTTAAACCTTATTTAGAGGTCGAGCCTGCAAATATGTTAATCAATTTATTCGGTAAATACCTTATACATTATTTTTTTTGGCCAATAACGTTAACTTTTACAGTGTATTCATAGAATAATTCGATAATTAAAATAACTATACAAATAAATATTTACCAAACACTCATTTCATAATATGATATAGTTAAATTATATTTACAATCTGCTACTTGTTATCGTCAGTTCAATTAATTACGGATAACTGATTGAATCAATTTTTTTATTAGCTTGATATGTAGAAGTGTTTTGACAAATACTTATACGTTTTAAATATAAAAAATCACTAACATTTTAAGTTTCTATTCCAAAAAACTCGTAGGGCTTTGAAGAAAACGGAGTTGACGGGTGCGGTCTCACGGACGTGGAAGCACGCCAAAGTATATAGGGTGAGTCTAGATGAGCTTTAGTGAGTTCCATCCTAAAACCAGTTGGTATTAGGAGGAGTAGCTCACTAGACTTATAAGTTTGACCTATTTTTTTCTGTATAGACGATGTTGGGCAACTCGCAAGTGTATATTCTAACACGTCATCTCACTTGTGAGTCCTTTATATGAGGCTCAAGTCCAACTGAGCTGGGTGACAAGGACGTCATTGCACGGTCCCACGTAGGCCAAAGCCCAACTGGGCTGGGTGAACTGCCTCTACTACCATGAAGAAACAGGGGTTGACGGGTGTGGTCTTACAGACGTGAAGCGCACCAAAATAGGGTGAGCCTAGATGGGTCTTATTGAGGTTTCATCCTAAAATTTCCACCCTATTATAGTGCGTTTCATCTACGTGGGACCGCACCTTCTTACCTCGATTCTCACTCGTTACAATTCCCAATCATCTATATGTTATTACAACCTAAACATAGTCAAATTGTGCTTTCATAAAAATTATATTCTTTTATCCACAAAAAAACTATTTAAACCACTACTTGGCAAAAAACTCAAAAATTCACCCTCAAATTTTAACTTGATTTCAAATTCAAAATGCTAATCACGAAACAACCCATATACATCATCTTTGTTTGTTGTTTAAATACATTATGCCTTGAGCTAGATAAAAATAAAAAAGTCTCCCATGGCCTCGAGCGAGACAAACATAAAATTGGAGAAAAAAAAAAAAAAAATCAAGAAACGGAGACACCGAATTTTATTTTTGGATTATACAAAGTTTTGAACTTGTCTCCATCCCGCCCGCTCTATTGTCTCTCTGTGTGTATATATGCGTGTGTACTCTCAGACACACCATCACCATCAGTTAACACTCTCTCTTACACTCTCAGCTCGCTCCCTTATCTAAGCACAACAAATTTGAGATTTTGATGTTTGATTTGTTTGAATCTAAGGCTGAGTTCACAGTGAAGTTATTCGAGTGAGCTCGATTCCCTTTTCACCCTTTTGAATAATTTTGTTTTCCCCTTTTCAATTCTATTTTTTTTTTTCGTCTACATTTCTGTGTGTTATATGGGGATTCACACTTTTTTATGGGCATTTTCTTGATTTTTGTTTTCTGGGCTGTGGAGTTCTTATGTGTTAGTTTTTTGTTTCATATAAAGATAACATTTTTATCTTCATTTGGTGTTATTTGAGGAGATTTGTGAGATAATGATATGATTCTGGAATTGTATTTTGTCTTTAATCTTTATGTCCCTTCATTTGTAAAGAAAAGCTTTTTTTTTTTTTT